ATTACTATTACTCGGAATTAATAGTATTTCAATGCGTTTCGCATTGTCATGATGTTTTTCTATATACCTAAAAAAATTGAGTGGTGAACAAAAACGCGGTCTCGGGCAGGAATCGAACCCGCGTTTCATCCTATCCGGATCGGGCAAATGTGTCTCGGTAGCGTAGTGGTTATAGCACGCGTCCCCGGATAGGACATATCGCATACCCGACCAAACCTGTCAAACGTTGGTGGCTGATAGCTAACATTGAGATGTTGAAGAATGAGTGGTCGGGCAAATGTGCCTCGGTGGTGTAGTGGTTAGTGCACGCGTCCCTGGGTAGGATGAAACGCGGGTTCGATTCCTGCCCGAGGCCGCGTTTTTGTCCACCACTCATTTCTCTTAGGTATATAGAAAACATCATGACAGTGCGAAATGCATTGAAATACTACTAATTTCCATACAATATCGAAAAATCGGCTATGAAGTGAAACTGTGCCCTACGAAAACACGGCATTTTTCTTTGGAAGAACGACTACAAAATTCTTCCATAAACTAAGCTTTGCAATGAAATTAGCACTTTTGAAGCTATTGCTTAACTGTGAAAACATGAACAGATAAGAAAAAAATTTAATCACAGCTAGGAATTCGTTCCTTCTCACGAGGATGTGGTCTTCTCAGTGTGAGATAAAGGATATATTGGCGTGGACTTTGGTAAATTTATTAAGTCACAAATCTCGTCACTGATGTTTCATCATTTGAAAAGAGGAATGTCCCTTTACTTAATCTGAGTTGTATTGAGGCGCGCAGGACTCGAACCGCCCGAACGGCACCGATAGGTGAGAGTCGAAAACGACTCTCAGCGTCCAGAAAGAATCAGATAAAGCGTACTGCTTTTCATCCAGACATTTATTGTCTGTGTAGTTCTACCACATAAAGGAGATTATTACATCAATGCTTGTGGTGGGTAATGTTCGTGGCGCAGTGGTTAGTGGTGCATTGCGTCGCGCTTAAGGTCCATGGTTCGATCTCGCTCGTATGGCTCACCAAGCCATCTTATCTCTGAGATCGTTATGTTTGTGATGGTACCAGACTGGTCGCAGACTTGCGTGGGGGATATGCAGCACTGTCTCGATATAGTGGGAGACCAGCGCCAGTCATTATAGAGGCCAAATGTGCAATCAACTATCTCAAACGAAGTTAAGAATTGAAGACGAATGCATGGCGCATCCCTCCAGGGCTTGACGAACGCGGAGAGCTTTGTCCTATCCATCCTTCCACGTATCGGAGTATCTGCCTTCTTGGGGTTTGCAGTGAGTTCAATCAGATGTTCTCAGTAGTTCTAATTGCGATGTTTCGGCTTTTGTTGCCGTGTTGAGTGAATAGCTGGAATGGGACATTGTATTGTAGTTGGATTTAACTCGTGTTCAGCCGGTGGAAAATTTTCAGCTCTAATGACTTCTCATGGAAAAATTTAATGAAAGATCTACCTTCTAACAATGTCGAACAGCAGACTACTAAAGTGTATGTAAGTCCATCATATTTATCACTTCATCAGTGGATATTGAATCTTATTAAATATTAATCACGTCTAACGAGATCCAATAAAAGTTGGAATTCAAAGTCTTTAAGTAAAACGACGGCCAAAAGACCGAAATTTTTTTTTACAAAGTAGTATCCTTAACGTAACGCCACTTTATACAATCCTACAGTCATAAAAGCAAGTGTGAATTCGCTTCTAATGATGTGATTTTGATACTCAGTGAATATAAGTCGTTTTAGAGGTATTTACCCAGGTAGTCTCAATGAGTCCTCATCAAGTAGATTGTGACTAGTCCAGTGATTTGGCACTCTTAACCTCTCTGAGCTTTTTCCTTACATTTTTTCTCCCTTATCCAATTTTTGCGGTGAACATCTAGCTATTTACTAAATTCGCTACTATCTCTAAGAACTTCATGGAGTTTCTAAGAGGATATCTACTACTTGGATTCATTTACTTGATTCAACGTCGTGTCATCACAAATCCTTAGGTGTTCTAAGTATTCGTTTTTACAAGGACAAAGTAACGATTACTTTGGTCCTATAACTAACGAAGTCCAGGATGTGTAACTTATATTCTCTGCTTTTGTATAGGTGTATGGCGGTTGAACAACTCATTACCACAAAGCATGACTACCTTTTCAATACCTTTTTGCAGCAAATTAAGAGTGATCCACAGTTTTCTGTAGAAAATCTCTTCAACCTTCTAAGCCATATTCAATTTACTGTTGACTAAATTGTTAGAGCTCTTAGCAGCGATTATCACGTCGAACTTTGTGCTAACGTTTTTGAACTACTGAAACGTAGCAGTCTATGAACGGGTGTTTATCTACTATAAATAGACTTGCGTTATATCAAGTATATTACAAGAAAGGAGCGCGGGCAGCGGGAGGAACTAACTGAACGAAAAGACACCGTGCAAGTGACGAGGTTGCGAGGCCGAAACACGTGTATTGCACTGTGCAAGTGCTCACAACAGATCACATGCAAGGCTCAAAAATAGCTATGAGGCATCTTGATGGCTTGATTGTGCATTCAGATACAGCAATAACAAAAATAAGTTCTTTAAATCTTCAGCAACCAGATAAATCAACAATGGAGATACTGGACAAAATGAAAGAGATTCCAAACACGGTAAACTCACTCACTGCAACCCTTTTTTAGTTCAACAACCACAACCATCAACAGCAGAGAGATTGATAAAAAAAAAAAGATCCAATACAAAGTAAAAAACGATCATTGAGATCGAGAGCCACGGTAATTACCCTGTGTGGAATGAAAGACTGCCAACTTGAGAACTATCACTGTTACGGATCACCTCAAGACGAGACTTTACTGCTGTATGCAGTTCACGTCCAATTTTGAGTGCAAAATCGATCATCTCCGGAATGGAACAAGGATCAATTCCTCCTGCACCCATTTGTTTGATGAGACGTAGTCGGATCTGATCATCCGGTATCCTCTAAAACGTAAAATTTGTTTCCTCAGAATAAAGAAACAGAAAAGTAGAAGTTAAACATAGGAATGTGTACAAATTATTTAGTCCTCTTGAAAACACACATATGGCACTGATTTGCAAAACTAAGTTCACTACAATTCTGTGAACTGATAATTTTCCATCATTGCGTTGCTCTATGCATCGTGAGCGTTATAACCACCTCTCTCATTCTTCTTCTTGATACACAATACAATGCTACGATTCCTTTTAACATTTGGAAGCCTTCTGAATGGTTAGGCTTGTTGAGAAAGCAGTCTTGTACCACTTTTTCTTCGACATACCAATAAGATACATCGCTGCTTAGAGAAGGCTCTTTCAAAGAGGAAGGTTGCACACGGCAGAGATACAGTTCATCACAAACATGGCGCTCGTTCATTCTCGCCTATACTCACCCAGCGGCCCTTCTTTCCGAGAGCGGAAATCGATCTACATTGTTTGAGATCGGTTCATTTTTTCAAACCACATCAGAACCTCCCTCCCAACAACGGCTATCCCAAAACAGCAGAAACAATCGACTCCACCACCATCCAAACCCACACGCAAAAATTCGAAGATTTTGTGGATAATATAAGAATATATAATAATAGAATTCAGAAAACAATTGTAAGAACTGCCAGGTCTGCACAGCAGATGTGAAAACGGTTAATGAGCAAAGTAAAAAGAATTCTTAATCGGAGAGACGTTCCTACATCAGTTAGCGATATTTGACGCCTTCCTGAGTCCTATGAAGCAACCATTATCTTCATCACCATTGATGATTCAAACACAACACAATCAATAACAATATCTCCTTTCTGGTGAGCTCAACTTTGCATGTTCTATTATCTATCGTAAAATATATTGGATAAGTTGGTTCCACATCTGCACCTCTTGTTTCTTGTCGTATTTGCCAAAAGAAGTCTAGCATTTCGTCCCTCTTAGCTGAAGCTGCTTTCTAAACAATGACGAGTAGTTCGAATATGGCTTTTGGCTAAATTTCAAGATTCAGAATACTTAATCCAAATGCCGAATCAAAAATTCCAGCTATCATTTCAATGGCCGCAACAGAGCGATTCCAATACGGAAGAGTAATTCAAATTTCGTGAAACTGACAGCAGTTATCATAGCCTAAAACTTGCTCTTCTCTTGCTGAAGTATCCTGTTCTTAGTCACATCCCAGTGCCAAAAATCAAATATGATCGATGAAAATATTCATGTATGTTTCGTCTCATGCAACCAAACATAACTTCATTCAGTCGATTTCGAAAGAAAACTGGGAGAGCCAGACCGAAACTAGCAACTTCTTTGTGCTTCGAGAAACAACAATATCATTACTCGTAATTACATAAACCCTTTCGAGACGGTGTGTATCCACGTAGATCCACGAATTTCTGGCGGCCTCTGTCGTTGGGAAGTTTCTATTCGAAATTTGAGTAATTACTTCATAGCTTAGATTTTGACAAGTTCAATAATGTATTTGATTTCTACGAAGCCTTTCTTTTTGCTTGCGTTATAGCAGAGAGAATAATATTATATTCCACACTCAAATTGCTTTGTTTCTTTGACTTGTGTCTGTAAGTGATTTTTCGCAGGGCCTTTGGTAGTCATGCGATAGCCCAAACTCGGCGATTTAGGGTAATTTTGGAAAGATCTTCACAGAACGCTGTAAGAGCAAAAAGACGATTACGTTCCACACTCAAAGTTTTTTTGGTAGATGAAAGTTATGCACGCACGAAGGGCATGTGAATATACAGAAAAAATTATGGGATATCAGACTAACAAGAAAAACTGGAATTTCTTTCAAAACTGAGGGAAAAAAATCTTCCATTATCGAAAATTGCGCGCTCGTTCAAGTGTGTTGTGCAATCGATCAACTACCGTCCGCAAAGTTTACCATTGAAAAACTTCCCAGACACCAGGAAATTTTTATTAAAGAAACAATAAATGAACATTTGGATCAAGGCGTGATGTGAAGGAATACTCGTAGCCCACAGATATCAAAACGAATCAATAACCATATAAATAACGAGTAATTTTTTATCTGAGTCACGTATAGCCCTCACGCATGCACAACTCTGTGCGGTGGTCTACATATCTGACGGACAGAAAAGAACAGATTGGGAAGTTTGTACACAGATCAACCTGCTTAGTATGCGATTTGATGTTGATATGCTGATTTCTAGTAGCTTTAGTTGAGAAAGTGCTTCACTTAGCAAATCGCATACAATAGGTGTTACCTAAATTTTGCACTGAGGCAATGAAGATCAAATCTGTGAACAAAACTGCATCATTTTGATATCATTAAACTGCGCATTTTCGAACGAACATTTCTGTAAACAATCTTCCTATACTTGTTACAA